ACCACTTTAATCTGAACAATCTCAAACTAGGGTTGCTAAAGTTCAAAAAGTAAAAACCATGACACCCCGAAAGTTGTTGGGCTTTTTTCAATTGACTTGCCTAAGATATAGGACAAATTTTGGAAATTCCCCCCAAATGTCAATTCCGCCTTTGAAATCCCAGTAATGTCCAAGAAATTCCGGACGTACGGCAGCCCTACCTCAAACACATATTAGACATGAGAAAATGCTCACCAGAAGTCTTTTACTTCAACTACTTCAGTCTAGTCTCCAGAGCCCTTGAGCTTTATGTAAAACCTAGACTGGAACACATAAAACACAGACCAGAAGTATGCCCCTAATTTGGGGGATCTCACACAATTCTTGGAGGTTCTTGTTTAGTGGTATCAGTTTACCTTAATGACCTACTGCCAACCATTTAACTTTTGGTAAATATGCTCCCATTTTAAAAAAATAAAATCCAAAATAACATTCTAAGTTTCTATCCACTGATTGAAAATGTTGGAAAATAAAAATCTGCTGAGTTTTCAAAAAAAAAACCACCACTACCCATAGTGAACAGTAAATACACACAAGTTTGCATTTCTCCGCTGTGTGGAAGATGGTTAGAATTTAAATATGCAGCCTTGTGATTGGTAATTTCTAGAAGCCAATAAAGCTATACCCATGCATAGATAATTACATTCAGCATTTCACATTGTTGAAGTATACTAGTTTGCATTTTGCAATGCAGCTTGTCTTTTCAACACTGAAGAACAGCCACAGTAGAAATTTGCAGAAAACATAGAACCTTGAGTGTGATCTGCTTCCACACCACCATGTTTTGTTGGATCTCAGCCATTGGAAATCCCCTGAAATGACTCAGTTGTGGGAGCATGTGTCCTTGGCATCATAATTTGTGAAATGTAATGAGGAGGAGAACAATGCTTTCAACTATTGTGATCTGATTATGCAGAAAACTAATTCTCTGGTTTAGAATTGCCTTTGAGCAAAATAGCGTTTTCTTTGCCAGGCACCTAATACTGCTTTTTAGTTGAATTTTTTCCCCTCCTTTTAAAAACTATTACAGACAAATTGGCAAGATAAAATGAATTATCCCTTCAGTCTCAATCTGAATAATAGCCTAGTAAAGTTTATTTGGTTCTGCATTCCAGTCTTGGAAATGAAGAAGACAAGCATGAATTAAGCTGGCAGCATTATTGCCTCTTGCTTCTTACATCCCATAAATGACCTGCATAAGAAAAACATTGAGAATGCCACCATTTTTTTATAGCAAAAACTGAGTAAAACTAATTGTATCGACCTGGCTGACCTTTCACAGAGGCCTGATCAGCTAGGGCTCTCTGAATTGTTGTTGAACCACATCTAAAGGGCACCAGGTTGGAGCAGATGGTGACATGTTAACATTTTCCTCTTGTCTTTCATGAAGAATCAATTTTTAATTCCTTTCTGTTATCCTTTGTTCTCATTGCTTGCTATTTATAACTCTTATCTGTGCTTTTTCTGGGGGGGGGCGCATACCCCTAAACATTTTGTGAATCTAAGTTTGGCCTCATTGAGGGGCAGTATTTTAATATGAGTAGGAAAATGAGAGTGCCCCTAAACACTTTTTTTAAAAGAAACAAAGCACTGGCTCTTATTCTGAAAACCTGTTTTTATTTCTGTCCTTCTTTCTAAACTCTTTCGTGAACTGAGAGTGCCTAGCTGAACAACCTTCTTCCATCTCCTGGCTTCCCTCTGATTGCTGCTTCTCCCACCTTGGTCCACTGTAGCTGGAATCTAGTCATGGAATCAACATATCAAAGAAACCCAATAAATTCCCTTTATCTCCAACAACCTAACTTTCCTTAGTATATTATTTTCTCAGAAGGCATGCACTTCCACAAATGGTTGGCTGCAGTGGGAGAGAAAAGTTGTTTCTGTCCCAGGGTAAGAACCTGTTGGTGGAACAGGTGGCACACCCTGCCAGGTGACCAACATGAGGGGAGTGTGTATACCCTGAGTAAGAAATAAGTGTGGCTTGATTTGTGGTGTTCGTTTGTTTTCCAAAGGATTAACTGGCATTCCTAATACAAAGCTGTGTGGTTGTTGGCCATTTTATGACTTTACTCATTTATATTGTTTTGCTTGTTTTGTTTTGTTTATTGTGCATTTAGTGCATATTTATTTTGTATTAATAAGCCTTTCATCCCTTTGGGGGCCTTTGGGACAAAAGATAGCATACAAATAAAGCGTAACCTAGTGTAATATTTTTTGTTATACTATTACTGCCTCTAGCTGCTAATGGAAATGGTGTGATTCGGTGTCGTGTCTTCCTACCTAAATGGGCCGATGGAAAGTACATCAAGGAATTTCACTAAATAAGTCTATTAATTACCCTGACAGTCTCATGTGGAGTTTCCAATGGCTGACTGAACTTAAAGTGAACCAGTGAAGAAGATTAAAAGATCACGGCTGGCCTTAAAACCTTGGCCTTCCCCTTGCCCCTCCCCAATCCTAGCAATCCTTATCCTGTCATCCAGGAAAAGCTGTTTACTGTCTACAATCTTCACAGAAAGAGGTCAATGACTAGCATATATAGGGTTGCTATTCCTGGCCAGCACTCTGGCACAAATTCATCACACCAGTAAAGGAAAGAAGATGACATTGCAGCAGTCCAATTATTCAATGTGATAAAGGGCACAATATTGTTTTATTCTTAGATGCCAAAAGTCAACTCACAATTTATATGGCAAATGAATTTCTGCTTGTCGGCTGTGCATCTTCCAGCAAAAGCCATGGGCCAAATTCAACTAACAAGGCCCATTAGTAGAAGCCCACACAAGGTCTTCCACTAGCACAATGGGGCTTTCCCTCTTCACCTTCCACTGCATACCCACGCTGCCCCCCCCAAAAAGCCCAGAATAGCACATAAAGGGGAGGAGATGGAGAATCATTCCATCTGGCAAGCTGAAATGCTTGCATTGAATGAACAAATTGCTGACTGGAGCTGGTTACTAGAAGAACAGCTCTTTATTACAACAGCTCCACTGGCTACTGGTCCCTTTCTGGGCAGAAATCAAAGTGCTGGTTATGACATATAAAGCCTTATATGGCTTGGGTCCAGGCTATTGGAAGATTGGAAGATTTGGGTCCAGGCTATATGAGCCTACCCAGGCCTTAAGATCTTCAGGTGGGCTTTGGTCCCACCACCTTCAAAGGCACATCTGGAGAGGACAGTGAGCATAGTGGCTGCCCCAGATTGTGGAACTCCCTTTCACAGGAAACTAAGATGACCCTTTCTCTTAAGGCAAGGCTTTGGCCACTAACTGACTGTTGGGGCAATCTTCAGAGGCTGGGTGTTGTACTTTGGGGGGGGGGTTGTGTGGTGTGTGTGCACGCACACGCGCTTTTAAATTGTTTTCAGTGTTTTCAGTGCTATTTTTAAAAGGGTTACTGATTTAATTTTTACACACACACACACACACACACACACACACTGACTGCATGTGTCTATTTAAGTATAAATGTTATTTCCATTTATTGAAAAGGTGTTCAGTCTCTCCTATTCCAGTAATAAATTTAACCAGATACAGATTCATGTCATGCTCCGTTCACTCTCTGCAACCCGCCCCCCAGTGTGTGCATGCCCTGGGTACTGGCTAACCACGCTACACCCTTCGGAGCCCTCTTGGTAGTTCCACCACCCTCAGAGGTTCTGGGGTAATGACCTGGGACAGGGCATTCTTCATGGCAGCCCCTAAATTGTGGAATTCCCTGCCACCGAAGTGCATTTCATGCCTCCATTGTACAATTTCATCATATGCTGGCACCACACTTCTTTGCAATTGACATCTTGTAAATATAATAATGATAACCATGATTCCATACTTTTCTTCCCCATTTAATCTGGATTTACCATTTCCACATGGTTTCAGTTTTTTAGTTATTGGATTTTGCACAGAAATGGTAAATTGGGATCACATTGAAAAAAAGAATACAGTGGTACCTCGGGTTACATACACTTCAGTTTACAGACGCTTCAAGTTACAAACTCCGCTAACCCATAAATAGTACCTCGGATTAAGAACTTTGCTTCATGATGAGAACAGAAATCGTGCTCCGGCAGCACGGCGGCAGCAGGAGGCCCCGTTAGCTAAAGGGTGCTTCAGGTTAAGAACAGTTTCAGGTTAAGAACGGACCTCTGGAACGAATTAAGTTCTTAACCCGAGGTACCACTGTATTGGGCATCAACATTTTTGATGAAGGTAATGTCATATAAACACTACATGAAATTTGCATTCTACAGCAGCACTGTCCACAGTAAGCTGCCATGTCCACAGTGCCTCCACCCCACCACACACCCCGATCTCTTGTTCCCCTTAATGATCCTTTGCACTGCTTCATTGCATTCACAAAGGTGGGAGAGAGAGATAAAGCAGAGTGACCTGTGTGCAAGCACGGGGGGACGGGTGATAAACAGCTCTATTAAGCCTATGAGACTCCTTTGTGTGCATAAACTGTGTATGAAACAGATTGGTTTAGGCCCCACTCCCATGTCAAGGCACTTTATGATATCAGTATACTAATAGTGCACATTTAATATGTTTTTGAACTTGAACATTGCAGCAATACAGCAATACAAGAATAACTTTTTTATTAATTAAATTGGTTGTTCAACATTCAGCATGAGCTAATAGGATGAAAAGAATGCAATAGAATGCAACATTCAAAACAATTAAAACAACAAAAGGACAGAAAAACATATCCAAGGCGGCACCAGAGAAGCTCCTCTTTGGCAATGGCATTCCAAATATATGGTACTACAGCCAAAAAAAGCACCAAGATATACTTAATTGGATGTACTTAAGCTGGGAAGTATCAGTCTCAGATATTCTTCAAGTGGTTTCGAGGGATTATTTAAATGATAAACTGCACTCAATGAGCATAATGAGCATAATTAATGAATGTAAGCAATGACATCAAGGCCATGAAACATGCTGAAGAAATAGAAAACTTACCATAAGCATGTAATCCAATGGTTACCTGGTATTCATACAATGGTATGCGGGTCCTAAAGTAAAATATAAACGAACAAGTTGTAGTCTCTGATAATGACAAATTGCTATTTTAACACTGCAAGTTTCATAGCAAAGAAAATTCAGGAAACATATTGGAAGCAGCAGCAGTAACAAGAACAGCCTTCAAATATATCTAGGTCAAAGATCTAGAAATATTTCTCATTTATAGAGCACAGATACTGAAATCTTGAATATCATGAGCTTCCCCCAACCCCAGTATTTGGAAAATCTGCCTCACACTGAGTTTTCCTGGATTTCACTCTGTCCCATTCTTTCTCATCTCATAAGGAACACAAGATTGAGTTAGGGGATCCTCTGGCGCAAATTTGGGAGTGCATGGGGGGGGGGAGTCCCACTGTGGAAGTAAAATGCTGCTTGTGCAGCATTACCTAGAGCTGTTATACCACAGTACAGTGGTACCTCGGGTTAAGTACTGAATTCATTCTGGAGGTCCATTCTTAACCTGAAACTGTTCTTAACCTGAAGCACCACTTTAGCTAATGGAGCCTCCTGCTGCTGCCGCGCCGCCAGAGCACTATTTCTGTTCTCATCCTGAACAGTGGCGTAGCGTGGGTTGTCAGCACCCGGGGCAAGGCAAGTAATTTGCGCCCCCTAACCCGTGGACCCGCGAGCGCCCCCCCCCGATGTTGCGCCCGGTGCGGCCGGCCCCCCCTGCACCCCCCACGCTACGCCACTGATCCTGAAGCAAACTTCTTAAGCCAAGGTACTATTTCTGGGTTAGCGGAGTGTGTAACCTGAAGCGTATGTAACCCGAGGTACCACTGTACTTCACTTTAAAAAGGATGTAGGTTTGCAAAAGTCACTACCTGTACAATACAATACAGCCTATTTCCAAAGCATTGGAAATTTACTGCTATTTCAGTTTATTTTCTGGTTTCAAGTAACATTTAATCTAAACTGAGTTAATCAAAAAATTTGTTATTGTCATTTTAAAAAAATAGCCAGTGAAAATTTGTTGCGCTTCAGTTGTTAAGATTAGACCATTTAAACCTTTGGTTGCAGACATTCAGAATGCCTTTCAGCACCTAATGACAGTTGGCAGAAAGCATGAATAATTAGGCATGTGTTGGTGATCAGACACCTTGCAGGAGAAAACAAAACTTATTGATTTCCTTTTTCAGATGGTTTTGCTGACTATGTGGATTTACATAATTCCAAGTAAAGTTATGGTATAACACCTAAAAGATAAACTATAAATATGATGATTTGGGCACCATCTCAAAATAGCAGCAGTGCATTGCAATATGATAGTGAGTTGCTGTAGAGACAAGTGATCAGCATACAAATAGCCTGATTATGGGAGCAGAAGGAATAATCGCTGATTGGCGATTTAGAGCAGAGGAAGACTGATTATACTGAAATGGAAAACTGACAAACCAAAAACTTATTTCTACCTTCTCTGTTCAGTGTTTGGTAAAATAACAGTTCAGAGAGAGAGAGGGAACTTGTTGAAGGCTTATTGGAAAAGGAAGGTCTTCAATAGACAGCAGAAAGGCAGTATAGATAGTGTCTGTCTGATACATAACAGAAAGGAGTTCCAAAGGGTAAGTGCCAGCACACTAAAGCCTGATTCCTACATCACACAGAACGATGACAAGTCATGCATCCGCCAGCAGCCCTGATGAGTTGACATCTGCCAGAGGCCCTCACCCTGCAAAGCACTGTGAGCAACTGGACAGATGATAAATCCTTAACACTTCAAATATTCTTCACAAATTCTTAAACAAGCAGCAGCACATACGTATGTGAATTGTTTTCCCAGTTTTGTTTAGAATATGCAAATTTGAGTCTCTGCAAGGAAATGCGTTCTCAGCTCTGGACAGCTGTGGGGAACAAAGAACAGCCTCTCCACACAAACACACATATTTGCTAAGAGTGTCTTGAGCCATATAAGAAGGCCATTCTGCTGGTTCTTTCCAGGCTTGTCCCATCTTGCTTCTAAGCTGAAATTTACTTCTGCCAGTTTACCACCAAACTTTTGCAATCTGCTCCAGTTTTAATGGTTAGGACTGCTTTCTGCAGTTTCTGCTTTTTGCAAATTTTAATTTGACCTTAGATCTTCCACTCCTCTTTTCTTTCTTTGTTGGCTTGGATGTGGGTGTCCTTGAGTTTAATGGAATAAATGCCATGTCTTCATCCTTTTCAGATAGAAAACTACCTATTAAACTTATTTTAAATGTGTGTTGTTGTTTTTAAAAAATGTTTTTGTTCTGACTGTAAAATACTAAAATGCTAAAATAAGGTGCATGGAACGTTATGAAAGCTACTTCACTTAGACCATTTTTAAAACAACTACACTTTATTCAAACATTTGCATTGCTGTGTCAGGTCATTTATTTTCAATACTAAAAGAGCCACAATCATTAAGAACCCCTTAAACACTTTTGAATATGAGCTACAAAATGTTTCCAATCTCAGTTTTTCAATTGCACAATATTAAATCCTGCCATACTGATAATGCTGCTGTCTTGTTATTTCAGTTCTTTTTTAGCTCTACACCCAACAGCCAAAGAAAAAAAATGTGTAAGCATAAATGTACTTATAATTCCTAAAATATACTCAAGGTGCTGTTACCAAGAGAATATCTTTCTCCAATATACATAAACATCCAAATGCCAAGCTGGGGATGGGAAATAACTTGCTTTGTTTATTATCCTGCAGGCACAGAAAAATACTGCTATATACACAGTCAATATTGGAACAATATTTATGTCAGCTCTGATGTTTCAAATAGAAAATAAATTATGTTCTAAGAAAATCTTCTAAAACTCTTGAAATGAATCTGCATATACCCTTAATAAAGAAACTGAAAATGGTTCCACACTGAAAATTACTAAGTGGAAAGGGCCTGATTTAAACACTACCTTGGTAGCAGCTCTCCCCACTGTAGAAGTGACTGTGTAAACATTCATCACATGGACTGGTAGATTTTGTGGATAATTCTGGTGATCACAGTTCCACATGAAATACTACCTTCTCCCAAATGAAGCTTCCTATCAATTAAGATCTTAAGAGAACCATCTGCTGTTGGAAGGCTTTCTCTGTAATGGCACCCAAGTTATGAAATCCCTACCTAAGAATGTCCACCTAACACCCTCACCTAACACCCTTCATGCCATTTTTAAGGTGCCAAGTGAAGTCCATCCTGATCGCTCAGTCTTTTAATAACATTTTATGGTTTTTGTGATAATTGGTCTCTCTCTTTTAATTGCTGATAGCTTAATGGATTTTTAGTCATTGGCTCACTTTGTCGATATGCTGTTTTATGTAGGGGTGGGGAGCCCCCCCCCCCCCCCAGGAAAATGTGTAGGGCCTGAACAGTGCAAAGTAGGTGAGGCCAAAACCCAAAGTTGGTGGGCCTCAACAAGATGTCAGTTGCATCTCTCTGCACCAGGACATAAATAAAAAGAACCAAGTCCTGAAGCTTTCAAAGGCAAAGAAACACAGGAATGTTTCAGTGCTTCTGTTTCCATATGGGCATTGAGAAAAGGTACTGTTCCCAATCTTCTCTGTTCCACAATTAAGTAGAAATCTTGGTGCTAGGCTTTCCTGCAACCAGAGTCTCCTGGCATCCTTGCTACAATCAAGGAATGGATCATTACAATGCCCCTCACCATAAAATCTGGAAATTCTCTGATTTTTGGCCAGCTCTAGGGCCTTGCTGGTCAGGAAACCTGGGCTATAGAAGGACACATAAAGGCTTTTGGAATTGTCCAATGCTCTAAGGCAGTGTTTCCCAACCGGTGTTCCGCGGCACACGAGTGTGCCGTGAGACGTTGCCTCGTGTGCCGCGAGATGCCTGGAGGGAGGCGGGCGAGTCGGGCGGCGAGAGGCGGGGCGGCGGCGGCGAGGAGAGGCCGCGCCTCCTGCTGTTGCCTGGCGCTCCTCCTCGCAGCCGGAAGCGCTGCCTGGGCGCCTCCGCGCGACTCTGCCTCGCTGGGTTTGGTCTCCCAGCAGAGACGGGTCACACGCGCCCCTCCCTCCCTCCCTCAGCCTGCGCGGAGGGAGAGCCAGAGAGAGGCATCGCTCCTGCGCGGCGGGAGAGGGAGCAGCCGGAGCGATGCCCCAAACGAACGCATGGGACCGGAGGGGAAATCCTCTCCGAGGCGGATTGAGCGCAGCTGAGAGAAGCCTTTCGAGAAGCTGCCGTGTCCCCTGGAAACCCCCTTCCCAGCTCTGCCTCAGCCGCCGCCGCCTCAGTTGCCGCCGTCCCTCAGTCCCTCGCTCTGCTGCCTCCTCCCACCCCCAAAGCTTGGAGGTTCCCCAGCAAGGGGGAGGGAAAAAACTTTCACTTTTGTGCGTCCCTCCCGGCGTGACGCTGCGCGCTGACGTCACGGGGCGGGGCTTTAATGGTGGTGTGCCGCGAGATTTTTTTTCAGTAAACAGGTGTGCCGTTGCCCAAAAACGTTTGGGAAACACTGCTCTAAGGATCATGAGATGCTAGGGATGTGGGTGGCGCTGTGGTCTAAACCACCTCTTGGGCTTGTTGATCAGAAGGTCGGTAGTTCGAATCCGCGTGATGGGGTGAGCTCCTGTTGCTCTGTCCCAGCTTCTGCCAACCTAGCAGATCAAAAACATACAAGTAGATAAATAGGTATCGCTGAGGCGGGAAGGTAATGGCATTTCTGTATGCTCTGGCTTCTGTCATGTTCCATTGCACCAGATGCAGTTTAGTTATGCTGGCCACATGACCCAGAAAGCTGTCTGGCTTCCTTGGCCTGAAAAGCGAGATGAGCAGAACACCCCATAGTCACCTTTGACTGGACTTAACCATCCGGGGGTCCTTTGCCTTTTACCATAAGATGCTGTGCCCTTCTTCCCTACCTTGCACGCTACTCAGTCTTCATTCCAGTGGCAGTGGAAGAGCTACTTGCATGGTGAATTCTCATTTTAATTCTCAAGAATTTATTGCATCAGGGTTTGGTTGTTGCTGCATTTTTAAAAGGCTGTACTGCTTTGTTCAGCACTGTGT